TGAGCTCTACTGCTGAGAGTCCTTCTTGTGCCGGGAAGATGGCTCAGTGAGGAAGGACACTCGCTGCCAAGCCTGATGACTCCAGCTGGGACCCTTGTCAGAGAAGGAAGGAACTGGTAACTTCAGTATACACACGTGTACACACACACACACACACACACACAAATTAATTTTTGAATGTTTCAATTCCTGATGGCAGAGTTTACATCTACAGCACACAGACCTTGGCCAGGTTTTTCGAAATGGTTTTGGGTTTCTGTGAATTTCCCCTGCTGTAGTATCCAGTAGGGTTCAGAACAGAAAACCTACAGTCTAGGACATGGGGTGATATTTTTTTCCTCGGAGTAAAAGGACTGCAGGACTCCTGTTTATGGCAGAGACCGCACTGCTGTTCTGGTCTCAGAGCATTCTGCTAGAGGAAACCTCACTGGACAGCTACCAGAAATGGAGATGAGCCCTGACTTCAATGAATCGGGCTTTGGATGAGGAAGATCCATGAGGAATAGCAAATATGGACAGGAAAAGACAAGCAGGAGTTCAGATTCTGTGCCTTCCATAAGCCATGCTAAGATTTGCCATTTATTAACTGAAATAGCCATGAGCTACTTCAGCTAAGAGAAAATTCCAGTGTTCTCACCTTGAAGAGGACTCGAGTGACCCAAGTCTGGGTATCCCCAGCCCACCAGTGGATGAGTAGCAACACTGTAAATGAAGACTGGTTGTTGCTTTCCTGGCTGCCCAGACCCGAATAATCACAGAAACTATATCAATTACAACAGTGCTTGGCCAATGGTTCAAGTGTATTCCTAGCTAGTTAGTTAATTCCTAGCTAGTTAATCTTAAATTAACCCTTTCCACTCATCTATGTACTGCCATGATGGCCTACCAGTAAGGTTCCAGCATCCTTCTACTTAGGCTGCTACAGGGCCTACTCTCCCCCTCTCTCCCTCTCTTAAGACTTCCCATCTGACTTAACTCTGCTAAGCCATTGGCTGAAACAGCTTTATTCATTAGCTAATAAAAGCAACACATATACAGAAACATCCTGAATCAGAACATCTCTCATGTGGCCCTGGACAGACGTGAGCAAATATCTATTCACCCCAGAAGAGACACTGAGAAAAGACCACAGTAATTACTGCAACATGTCTACCTTAGGGGCAGACGCATGGGTGCATCACTGAAATACTCAGCCGGGCTTGAGTAACAAGGTATCAAAGCCCTGCACCCCAAGGCTCACAGCTGTCTCTACAAGTGTCTGCTCCCCCAGCAATTGCATATATAACCTCGGGGACAAGTCTATAGGTCTTGGGACTCTGTGCTTTAAGAGCCCAGTGGGTTTCCCCTGAGCCCCCAGTGCCCTTCAGGAGCCAGTGTTCAGTTAGGAGGGAACAGCTCCACAACAGGTGGATAAAGTGTTGAAGGTCAGGCTGCAGAAGCAGCTGCGCCCAGAGGGGTGCTCAGTGGGCAGGAGACGCAAGGCCCTGGTTCTATACCAAGCAGGCAGAGAATAACATGTGTATAGCATTCTGCACTTTCTGCTCCCTCAGCTTGCTAAGTCAACCTGGGCGCGAGCATTCAGGATCCACACACAACTAGAAAAGGAGCACGAGGAATGCGCCTTTCTCCAGACAGCAACACCGGCAACTCACACCCTCTCTGTAGGCACGCTGCACAGCACACTAGTGTTTCATCTGGGCTAGAGTGGCGGGGGGGGGGGGGAGCGCAGCCTCTACAGCGGGGGTGGGGGGAGCAGGGTTCAGTCCCTACAGTGGAGTGGGGGACGGGGCGCAGCCCCTACAGTGGGGTCTCTTGCTCAGGTGCTGCTCCTGCTGGGCTTCCTTCCCACACAGAGGGACCCAGATCGGTGCTCCTTTCAGTCAGCACCTCAGCCACGACCTCCGCAGAACCCACAGCTGCTGCCCCATCTCCCCTGGCAAGGGTGGCTCCCAAACACCACATGCTTTCCCCGGCCACTCTAACAAAGCCAGGCTGGTGTACCTGAGTACTGGTGCTGGCCCTCCGGCCTGCCATTTGACCTCTCCACCCTGCAGCTTCCGCCTCTGCAAAACGCCTTCTGTGGGAAGAGAAGACAGGGCGGGTAAATAAAGCATAGTGCCTGTGCTCAGTGAGTCTGGAGGAACCGGGCTTTCTCTCCCCTGGAAACTGCTTTCAAGGTCCTGCCAGTTGTGTTAGAGGAAGCCTTTCCCCAATCACAGACTCAAGTTTGGTCTAACCTCATCTTTTCTATTTCCCTCGTGAAAGGTATCTTCAGACTACACGACTTAGGTGTACACGTCTGAACTCCCCTGGTGACGGTCAGCCCATGTCACCCCAACCTCAGCTGCTGCCTCACACGCCACCGCACTCCTACCCTGGGACATTTGTGCCTGTTGTCCCCCCTGTCTGCCACACTCAATCCCTCTCCTTTTATGAATTCTGGTCCTCTCATCCCCCACTACCCTCTCTCATCCCTTCCTCCCCAACTGAAACCCATCTCCCCAGCAAGTCTTCTCCTACTTGCCCGTGTCTTTTGTGTGTGGCTGCTTGCATGAGAGGGGGTAGGAGGTTATTTACTGAATCACGGGCAACTTAACAGTGGCCATGCCACTGAAGAAAATGACAATCCATGCCCAAGTCCACGGAGGAGTGGGGCAACCTTCAGGTCCCCTAAGTATCACTTCACACAGGCCACCCCACCTCCAGTTCCAAGTCTTCCCGAGTGTATTTACTATTGTCCCGCACACCAGCACAGCACAGTGGCAATGCCCTCCCATCTTCTTGTTCCAGCTCATCGCCAGCATCTACCACAACGCAGGAAGAGCAATGAGGAAGCACTGACCTGAGAAATAAAACAGGGACCGTCTATATCCAAAGGAAGTGCCTTAGATTTGCTCAGGTTCACCAGACCATAACTAAGCACGAAGTCCCAAGCCCAGCCCTTCCAGTTGGCACCTGCTTACATAGGCTCTTTAACTTGTCTTAAGGAAAACCAACAAAACTGCAGTCCAGAGCCGGAGAGATGATTCAGGAACTAAGGTGTGCACTGCTGTTTCACAGGACCCAAGTTCAAGTCCTAGCACCCATGCCAGGAGGCTCAGTCTCCTGTGACTCCAGCTCCAGGCTCTGGCTCCTTTGGACTCCACAGGCACCTGCACTCATGGCAGACTTCCCCAAATAAAAATAAATCTGTAAAAATCTCCAGTCTGCTGAGCTCATATCATGAAGAGGGAGGGACACACATTACATACGGTTCCGTGTCCTGAACCAACAGAATGGACATTTGGGTGAAAGACTCTGTACCAGACACAGGAAGCTTATACCCTCAAGTGCCCATCCCGTGGAGAATTAATGGGGCAGAGAAGTGAGGTTAGGAATAGAAAAACTACAGCTCTGCACCAAATCGTCAGGCATTAGGCAATTTTGGTTTGTTTTGGGTTGACTCCCTGGGGTGGCTACTCTTGGTTTTCATCTTGACTCTATCTGGAATCAACTAAAACCCAGGCAGCTGGGGAGATCTGTGAGAGATTTCCTTGACTGGATTATCCAAGGTCCAGAGACCCACCCTAAATCTGGACCACACCTTCTGGTGACAGCCTACATAAAAGGACAGAGAGGAAGGAAGTTATTGTGTTTGCTTGCTAACCCTCACTCTCCAGGGTCAGTTCTGAATCTCCTTTGTGTATTTTCATTTTATCTGCTCTGTTCCCCTAGAGAACCCTGACCATTCACACCCTGGTCTGGGTCAGCTATTTATGCCAACTCTGGCACAGGACAGCTTCCCTTGCTGCTCTCAGAGACCCCTGTAAGCCCTGCCCCTAGTGACCTCCTGAGGCCAGGCTCCATCCCTGACTGTTCTGCCCTGACCCCTCCAGAGGAAGAGCCTGAGGACTTCCGAAGGCAAGGCCCCTCCCCAGACTTCTCTAACAACCATTCCCAGCTCCTCTAGGGGGGAGAGAGAGTGGCCAGGCCCCTCCCTACAGAAAAATAAAAATCCAACCAATCCCAAAATCGTGATTGAAAGGAGTACCAACTTTACCTTGAACCTATATTTGCAAAATGGCGTTACAGCAGCTAAGCTGGGGTCTTTCAGTGATAGCCTCCCACGCCCCCAGAACCTCCTTATAAACCCTGTCTTCTGCTCATATCTCTGTTGCTTTTTACTGGAGCAGAGGCAGCTGCCCTCCTGAGTTTTCCCCCCCTTCCAATAAATCTCTTACGCGAGACTAGTTGTATAGTGTGACTCTGTGGTATTCCTTGGCTCCTGAAAGCCCAGGCTACCCCACTGCAAGTGTTATAGTTCTGCTCAGCCGCCCCCCTCGCCCGTATGCCTGTCGCTGTGGCTCCCTAAAACAGCGTCAAACACTTGCATTGGGGCGCATTGCCCTCTCCCCCATGGAGCAGTCATTCCCCTCAGACCTGTAACACTTACAGTCTGCAAGAGCGTTTTATGTATTTGTTTTTTCAAGACAGGGTTTCCCTGCGTAGCCCTGGCTGTCCTGGAACTCACTCTGTAAACCAGGCTGGTCTGAACTCAAGAGATCCCCCTGCCTCTGCCTCCCCAGCGCTGGAATTAAAGGTGTGGGCCACCCTGGCCCGAGAACCTCGCATTCCTTGATCTTCTGAATTGTTATTTCGGCCTGAGGGCGCCTCGCAGCCGACATAGCTGGGGAGAATCTACAGCAAAGGTGTCCCCTCCTCCTTTCCTCTAAAGGTTACAGAGAGGCGGTCTGCTCAGCGAGCTGTGCCCGGGCGCAAGTGCGGACCTGATGCAGAGGAACCGCGGCCAGAGTGCGGCCAACGCTGGCCTGGAGGGCGGAGGCGCGGAGAGCGCAGCGCGAGCACGCGAGCGGCGACCACGGTAGGGACAGAGGCCTGAGGCGCCCCGACGGCCGGCGCTGCGGGGACAGCGGCCCCTAGCGGCGGCCACCACAGCTGACGCGACGAACGCGGCGACGAAGACTAACCGGTCCGTGAGGGGCGCTCCGGAAGTGACGTCACGAAAGGCGATAGGGCCCAACCATGGCGCTAGAGCCCGCAGCACGGCCACCGGAGGAAACCCTGTTGCTCTGGGAACGGTAATGGAGTCGGGGCCCGCACGGGGGTGGCTTCTCCAATGACTTTCCGGCCTCACAGCCCCTGTGCAGCTTTGAAACCGAACACCCGGCTGCACCGCAGGCCTGGCCCTGGCCGCCACGCTGCCGGAAGTTGCCTCCTGCCTTTGTGGGCGCGGCCTGCGTTTCCGGTCCGCAGGTCGGGACGTGGAGCGCTTTCCTCTTTCATCCTGGCTTGATGGGCAGAAAGGAGATTGGGGTGGACTGGAGGGCGGCAGCCCGGAGGGTCGGGCTGTCCCGATGGTCCTGAGCTCGTTTCGATGTTTGTGCCCCGCTAGGGAACAAGCCCGGCTGAAGACGCGCGTGGTGGCCCGGGACACGGAGGCCTGGCAGCGGGACCCCACCTTCTCGGGCCTGCAGAGGGTCGGGGGCCTGGACGTGTCCTTCGTAAACGGAGAGAGCTCCCGGGCCTGCGCTTCCCTGGTGGTGCTGAGCTACCCAGAGCTCGAGGTAACCGCTTTCGTAGGCTGCGCACCCAAGGGTACTGGATCCCGAGACAGCGATCAGAACCTGGGTGCCGTTTTGTAAACTTTTTCTTCTCCACCTCCGCGCCCTTTGAGTTTTTTAGAATCTTTTTTAATTTTTGATGCTAAAGCCGACCCAGGACCTCGAACATGCTAAGGGATCAATAAACTTCCATTTCATTTATAGAATTTAATGTGTAGGTTGGAGTGTATTTTTAAAAGGCTAAAGCCTCAGGAAATAGTGTAACTTTGAAGAATCAGTGGACAGAGGGTTGGTGGGATGGTCAGCGGCTAAGTGGGAACACCATTCTTGCAGAGGATCCAGCTTCAGTTCCAGCTCCCACATCAGGCTGCCCCCAACTACACTTAACTCCAGCTCCAGAAGATCTAAAAGGACTTCTGGCCCCTGTGGGCTCTAGCATGTTTGTGGTGTATAAAAACTCCCACAGGCCCACACATACCTACACAAATTAAAAACATAGCTTGAGGATCAACAGACAATTCTAAGTCTGGGTGTCCTGGGTTGCTCCCTCAGTGGCCCACAGCATGCACCTCAGGTTGCCCAAGCAGGAAGTCTCAGCCTTCCTAGGGTGAAGAAGGCTCGTTAGAGTAAGTACTGTCTAAACTGGGCTCTAAAGTTGGAGCCAGCCAGGTGAGGATCACTCTAGGAGAGCAGGCATGAAAGGCTATCAGAACCCTGCTGGGGGATTTAAAGCCCTGAGGAACAGCGTTTAGAAGTGACTGAGGGCGGTGGTGGAAGGTGAACTAACAGGGTCACATCAAGCAGGGAACAGCACAAAACAGGCCTTGACGTCCAATTAGCAATGTGAACTTTATTAGCCTTCATCCCACAACACTGGAGTTGTGTCTCTGTGCCCTTTGACAGTCTCTGTCTGATAGACCAGAACGCGTCAGGCTGGGTAGCGTGTAAACAAGAGTGTTTCTCAGAGTTGTGAAGGCTGTAAGTTCTAGGTCAAGGAATCAAGTGAGACTGAGGTCTGGTGAGACCTCTGGATTCACATAGGCCCTTCTCCCTGTGTCCTCCCAATGCTTCCCACTTAATTCAGTCACCTTGTAGGTTAAAACTTAAAACCATAGCAACCCTGACCATAGCAGCTCCGACATACTGAAGTGAACTTAGCCTGTCCCCTCTCCAGAGTGTAAATTCTGATGCCATCACTTGCGTCTCTACATAGATCATGTGTGTGCACGTGTGAGCAGTCAGCCTGTGGTTCATCGGATCATGTTTGTGCACACATGAGCAGTCAGCCCGTGGTTCATCAGATCCTGTGTACATAGATCATGTGTGTGCACGCATGAGCAGTCAGCCTGTGGTTCATCCACACTCAGCATCTCAGGAAGCCTTGGCCACACCCCAGCCTTAGCAGTCCCATCACCTCTCCTCCAGAAGCCACAGACTCTTCCTGACTCTGGCTTTGTGCCTTCCCCTGATGACCTCTAAGTTTCAGCTCAACACAAATGCAGAGTGCCTGCCGCGCTTGGAGTGGGGTGTGTAGTGAGAAGGACCTGGGGCTCATGTCCCTATGGGTCCCTGACTGTTCTCTAGGAGTGCGGGGTAAGAGCAGAGACACCAGCACTAGGTGGCTCCTGTGGATACTCTGGGTCTCTGTCCCCACCCTACCCCTTGGGCCTCTTTCTCCGTCTGACCTCGTGAGAAAGATTGTCCTGGTTAGTTTTTATCGTCACCTCAACACAATCTAGTGTCACCTTGCAAGGTAGAAGAATTGCTTCAATCAGATTGACCTGTGGCCATGTCTGTAAGAGATTGTCTTGACCGATTATTGAGGTGAGGGCCCAGCCCACTGTGGGCAGCACTATCCCTAGGCAGATGGGCCTGGACTGAAAAGAGCTGAATGAGCCAGGAAGCAGCATCCTCCATGACTCTGCTTCAGTTCACACTTGAGTTCCCTGTGCCTGAGCATCCAGTTAGCATTTGCTTCTTGTAGTCTTAAGTCAGGGAAGGGTATTGGAAGAGTGTGGCCGGGTGGTTCCCAGTTGCTTGACTATGGCTCACCTGGAAGTTTGTGGGGCTGTTGATTGCATAGGCACGCTCCTGAAGGATGTAGATCCATGGTTACCTGAGCACATCAGTTACTTAGACATGACAGAACTACTTAAGGATTTATTTTGCTCATGGTTTGAGGTTCAGTCCCCTGTGACAGGAGCATGAGGCTGCTTGTTCACAGTAAGCAAGAAGCAGAGAAAATGGAATGTTGTTGTTTAGCGCTCGCTCTCTATTCGGTTCCGGACCCAGACCATGGAATGGTGCCACCCACTTTCAGGGTGGATTTTTCTTCATGAGTTGCTCCTCACCGAAAACATTCTCACAGATGTACCCAGAGGTTGTCTCCTGCATGATATTTTATTATTATTTATGTGTGTGTGTACTTTGTCTATGTGTATGGTCTGAACTATGTGCACCCCTGATGTCCACGGAGGCCTGACATCCATGGAAGTCAGAAGAGGGTGTTTGATTCCTGGAACTGGAGTTATAGAACATTGTGGTTGTGAGCCTCCATGTGGGTGCTGAGAGTTGAACCCAGGACCTCTGGAAGAGCGGCCAGTGCTCAGAGCCGTTAAGCTATCTCTCCAGCCCCTCGTAAGGAATTCTAAATCTAACCAGAGTTGATCATCACACTAAAGCTGAGCATGGTTTGCATGGGGTGTAGCTGCTGTCTAGGACCAGGATGATGTGTGGGGTGGAGGAAATGGTCTAAACTCAGGGTATGGGGCTGGAGAGATTGTTCAGCGGTTAAGAGCACTTGCTTTTACAGACGACCTGGGCTCAGTACTCAGCACCCACATGGCATCTCACAGCTGTCTGTAACTCCATTTCTAGGGGATTCCATGGCCCTCTCTGGCCTTCATGGGCACCACACACATGATATGTTTATAGACATGCACACAAAACACTCATACAATAAATATATATTTAAAATTAGATTAGAATGATAGTGAAAGCCTCAAAACTCACTGACTCGCACGCTTTCCCGAGGAGTTTTGTAAAATGTAAAGAGTATCGCACTAATGCTGCTAAACACAGTTCCAGAGCCACAGCCCATTTCCTGGGGAAAGCCGTCCCCACAGTCGGTTTCCCATAAGCAAAGCTTGGTTGGAGAATTAACAGTCCACCTTTACAGTCAGGAATTCTTTACTTAGTGTTCTTGACAGGTAGCAGCCTTATGGGACAGCCCCCACATACACAGCTGGCCTTCTGTAGCCAGCCTGTCCTTTTCCACAGGAAGAAGAGACCTCTCTGTCATTCGCTCATCGTCCACACAGCACACATAGAAGGAAGGTGCCTTCCCCGCCCTTCTACTCTTGGCTCCTTCCTGTTTGCTGTATCCTGAAGACCACCGTAGCTTATGCTGCCTCATTTGCTGGTGGCCCCTAGTGATGCTGTCAGCAGGGTCCATCTTCTGCACCTCGAACCTGGAGCTAAACACAGTCCAGCAATTAGAGTCCACCCCAGTGCAATTAGGCTCGTGAATCCATCTCAGATCAACACGTATTTGTCAAAGTGCAGCTTAAGACACTGATAGCGGCCAGGCAGTGGTAGCTCAAAGCTTTAATCCCAGCACTTGGGAGGTAGAGACAGGTGGATCTCTGAGTTTGAGGCCAGCCTGGTCTACAGAGCAAGTTCCAGGACAGTCTCCAAAGCTACAGAGAAACCCTGTCACACACCCCCAAAAAGGCACACTGTTAGCATTTTCTCTTAATTATTTTTCGATATTACACTATAGTTACAAATTTTCCTCTTTCCTTGTCCTCCCTCCAGGCCATCCCATCCCTCTTTTCCGCTCTCTGTATAATGTTAGGTTTTATGTGTATGATTCAGGGTTTGCCCATGGGTGTGCTCTTCCCTGGAGAAGACTCTCCTGCTCTCAGTGCTCCTCAGTTGCCTGCAGTTCTTTGTCTAGGGTTGAGGCCACAGCTTTCCCCATCCAATTTAGCGTGTCCGTTGGTGTCGTTCATGTTCAGGTCACTTAGGCAGCCATGATGGTGAGAATTCAGGGCTCCAGCTTCTGGCATTTCTAGGAGACACAGTCTCACAGCAGATGCCTTGTTCCTCTGACTCTTACAGTCTTCCCACCCCTTCTTCCATGGTGGTTTCGGAGCCTTTGGCACATGTAGGCGGAGACTGCTAATTGGTTTCCCAGTCGCCTGGATGCAAATAACCACACAGAAACAGTATTAATTGCAACACTGTTTGGCCAATAGTTCATGCATATTTCTAGCTAAGTCTTATATCTTAAATTAACCCATTTCTACTCATCTGTGAATCACCGTGAGGGTGTGGCCTATCAGTAAAGTTCTGACAGATACCTGGCATCCTTCTTTCTCCTTCAGCAATTACATGGCGTCTCCCTCATTCTGCCTACTTTCTCTCTATATCTCTGTTCGGATTTCCTGCCTGGCTTTATTCTACCAAGTCATTGGCCAAAAGAGCTTCAATAATCAATGGTAATAAAACATATTCATAGCATACAGAGTGGAATCCCACATGAGGTACAAGAGCGTGTTGCAGGTCCCAGAGCCCTAGGTGCAAGAGCGTGTTGTAGGTCCCAGAGCTCTAGGTGCAGGAGCGTGTTGTAGGTCCCAGAGCCCTAGGTGCAGGAGCGTGTTGTAGGTCCCAGAGCCCTAGGTGCAGGAGCGTGTTGTAGGTCCCAGAGCCCTAGGTGCAGGAGCGTGTTGTAGGTCCCAGAGCTCTAGGTGCAGGAGTGTGTTGTAGGTCCCAGAGCTCTAGGTGCAGGAGCGTGTTGTAGGTCCCAGAGCCCTAGGTGCAGGAGCGCGGTGCAGATGTATCTGTTGGTTGGGACTGGGATTGTGATCAGTTGTGCTTTTCTATCGTGGTCTCCATCTGTTGCTGGCTGAGTCAGAATCTGAGTGAATGCCTCACTTGGAGCCATTGTTGAAAATGTTAGGAGTCCAAGCCCCATCACCCACCAATAGCCAGTTCTCTAGGTGCACTTGGGTCCATGGGAATTGTGATCTGGACGTTCTCATCAAGAGCCTGGGCTGTGGAAGGTTCTGGAGAACATGGACACAGTAGGAGTGGGTCTCCAGGGCAGGCCAGTGAGTCTTTGTCACCTTGTGCTGTGTGCAGAGCCCTATCCTGAGCCGCATAGTGCTCCGTTGGGTTTTAGCTGGCTGCCTTCTGGTGCCCATAGGGGCTTTTAGTTTGGAAACTAGTATTTTTGCTAGAGAAGACCTAAGAAAGGGAGTTGCCCTTTATGAAGCGCTCTGGGGTCTCCCGTTTCTTCATAGAATGCACAAGGGCCACTGTCCTGAGTGCCCTACAGCGATGTATCGGGTTCAGTCTGTTTGTCTTCCTGAGCCCCCACTCTCTGGGGCTCTTGTTTTTGCGGCTTCCCTGACTCTGCAGGCTCCTGTCCTACTTGCCTGGCCTTTCCCCATGGTCCTTCTGAGGTGAACAGCCCAGGTCCACAGCCTACTCTCCCGGAGCCTTCTACTCTGAGCCTCCAACATCCATGCAGGTGGTCAGCTCACGCTGACAAGGAATGAGTCAGGAGTATGAGGGGAGGTAGGCCTGAGGCTGGCCATCACCTCAGCCAAGCTCCTGAAAGAGATGAGACGGGGGTGATGGTGCTCCTCATCCACACTACAGCCTACAGGTGTTCCCGTGTACACTAGGTCATGGTGCTCCTCATCCACACTACAGCCTACAGGTGTTCCCGTGTACACTAGGTCATGGTGCTCCTCATCCACACTACAGCCTACAGGTGTTCCCGTGTACACTAGGTCATGGGGGTCCTCATCCACACTACGGCCTACAGGTGTTCCCATGTACACTAGGTCATGGTGCTCCTCATCCACACTATGGCCTACAGGTGTTCCCGTGTACACTAGGTCATGGTGCTCCTCATCCACACTACAGCCTACAGGTGTTCCTGTGTGCACTAGGTCATGGGGGTCCTCATCCACACTACAGCCTACAGGTGTTCCCGTATGCACTAGGTCATGGTGCTCCTCATCCACACTACAGCCTACAGGTGTTCCCGTGTACACTAGGTCATGGGGCTCCTCATCCACACTACAGCCTACAGGTGTTCCCGTGTGCACTAGGTCATGGGGGTCCTCATACACACTACAGCCTACAGGTGTTCCTGTATGCACTAGGTCATGGTGCTCCTCATCCACACTACAGCCTACAGGTGTTCCCATGTACACTAGGTCATGGGGCTCCTCATCCACACTACGGCCTACAGGTGTTCCCGTGTGCACTAGGTCATGGGGGTCCTCATCCATGCCAGGTCCCAAGCAAGTACCTGTAGGATGAAATTTAAGTTGACTCCTCGCCACCCAGTTGCAGGTGAATCATTTTGTCCCAACTTTCAAACCTGGTCTCATTCTGGCCACAGGTGAGGCTGCCATGGGAGCCATGGGTAGGAGGCAGAGGGATGAAGTGGAACAGGTGGTTGTACCCAGTGTCCAACCTGTATCTATGGGCCTTGCTGTCAGGTGGTGTATGAGGACAGCCGCATGGTTCGCCTGAAGGCCCCCTATGTGTCAGGCTTCCTGGCTTTCCGAGAGGTACCCTTCCTGGTGGAGTTGGTACAGCGGCTGCAGGAGAAGGAGCCAGACTTCATGCCCCAGGTAGGTGCTTCCTAAGGTCAGAGAACCCCTTGGCTTGTGCGTGGTGGTGGTGGTGGTGGTGGTGGTGGTGGTGGTGGTGGTCGTGTAGGGTCCCCTCAGGCCACTGCCTCCCATAGAAGGAGAGAATGAGAGCCATCTGTTGTCATCTGCCCTTCTTGCTGCCCTGGCAACAGCCCGGCTGACTGACTCCTCTGTGACTCTGTAGGTCCTTCTTGTGGATGGAAACGGGGGTACTTCACCAACGAGGTAATCCTGAAGGAGGGTCAGAGAGGGTGCTGTGGGAGAGTAGGGGGTTTCCCCCAGAAGAGCCCTGCTGTCACCCACCTGCTTGCCTCCACAGTGCCCTACACTGGCCCATTCCCAGTACCTCTTCTAGGTTGACCTAGTGACCTAGTGACCTAGTGACCGTAGAGTCACAGGACTGAGCTCAGGTTAGCTCCGTTCCCACACTAGCAGGACTGAGCTCAGGTTAGCTCCGTTCCCACACCAGCAGGACTGAGCTCAGGTTAGCTCCGTTCCCACACTAGCAGGACTGAGCTCAGGTTAGCTCCGTTCCCACACTAGCAGGACTGAGCTCAGGTTAGCTCCGTTCCCACACTAGCAGGACTGAGCTCAGGTTAGCTCCGTTCCCACACCAGCAGGACTGAGCTCAGGTTAGCTCCGTTCCCACACCAGCAGGACTGAACTCAGGTTAGCTCCGTTCCCACACTAGCAGGACTGAGCTCAGGTTAGCTCCGTTCCCACACCAGTAGGACTGAGCTCAGGTTAGCTCCGTTCCCACACTAGCAGGACTGAGCTCAGGTTAGCTCCGTTCCCACACTAGCAGGACTGAGCTCAGGTTAGCTCCGTTCCCACACCAGCAGGACTGAGCTCAGGTTAGCTCCGTTCCCACACCAGCAGGACTGAGCTCAGGTTAGCTCCGTTCCCACACCAGCAGGACTGAGCTCAGGTTAGCTCCGTTCCCACACCAGCAGGACTGAGCTCAGGTTAGCTCCGTTCCCACACCAGCAGGACTGAGCTCAGGTTAGCTCCGTTCCCACACCAGCAGGACTGAGCTCAGGTTAGCTCCGTTCCCACACCAGCAGGACTGAGCTCAGGTTAGCTCCGTTCCCACACCAGCAGGACTGAGCTCAGGTTAGCTCCGTTCCCACACCAGCAGGACTGAGCTCAGGTTAGCTCCGTTCCCACACCAGCAGGACTGAGCTCAGGTTAGCTCCATTCCCACACCAGCAGGACTGAACTCAGGTTAGCTCCGTTCCCACACCAGCCCTGAGCTGCCAGTCAGGCTTTGTCCCTGCCCTTGCCAGCGCACTGTGGCCTGAAGAAGGTTACAGTAGCACTCCCAAGTGGGGCATGAAGAAGGGATTGCCTTCCTAACCGGCAGGTCTGGCTAGAAACCATGGACCCAGAGCCAAAAGATAGATCCATGCTAATCTAGACACCAATTCTAGGCCAAACAACTGTTAGAGATTACAATAAACTAGTCCCACACCAGCTCAGAATGGAGTATAATAAAGGTCCCTTATTTAGGGGTAGACTCACAGATCAGCCACTTAAGCCAGCCATTCAGGGTCTATGTCCCCAGTCACTGCTGTCCAGGCCACCTGACAGGACCCAGACCATAGGGGAGAGGCACAGAGGCCTGAGAAGAGCAGCAGATGGAAGAGGGTGAAGGGTTAGGAGAATGTGCCCTAGTTACCTGTCGGAGGAAGGAGCCTTCCTTCACCCCATCCTTAGCACCCATGTGATCAGAACAGAGCCTCTCATTCATAGTCCGGTCAGCTTGGCTCCCACTCAAGAGTCTGTGTGTTTGGATGAGAGATTCTGGTTGGTTCTCCATCTCATCCCCACCATCCAGCTCACTTCCTTGGTCCCTTGCAGGCTTTGGAGTGGCCTGCCACCTTGGTGTCCTTACAGATCTGCCCTGCATTGGGGTAGCAAAGAAGCTCCTGCAGGTGGATGGGCTAGAAAACAATTCCCTGCACAAGGAGAAGGTGAGGAGGGCCTCGGATTCCTGGGAGTCAAACGGTGTGCCCGTTAGCCCTGGGGATCATGCCCAGGGCTTGGCCACCTCCTGGGGGCACTCAGCACTCGCCTGGCCTGTTAGCACAGTCCTCACATCCCCGTTACCAGCGTACATGGAACCTCATGCCATGACCTTGGCACAGTTGACAACATACTCAGTGCTGCCTCTGAGGTGTAAACTTGTTACTCCTAGACACAATGAGGCCCTCTTCTCACTGCTTAGATTCTTAAATGAGTTTGCTGGACTGGAGAGATGGCTCAGTGGTTAAAAATATGTACTGCTTGGGCTGGGCAATGGTGGCACACTCCTCTAACCCCAGCAACCAGGAAGCAGAGGCAGCTGGCTCTCTGTGAGTTTGAGACTAGCCCGGTCTACAGAGTGATTTCCAGGACAGCCAAGGATACACAGAGAAACTGTATGTGTGTGTGTGTGTGTGTGTGTGTGTGTGAGAGAGAGAGAGAGAGAGAGAGAGAGAGAGAGAACAAAACAAAATGTACTGCTCTTGCAGAGGCCCCAAAGTTGGGTCCCCAGCACCTGTGTTGCTTAGCTGACAACCACATGTACCTCCAGCTCCAGGCAGTCTGATGCCTCTACGGGCACCTGCGCTCACGTGCACACACACAAACACCCCACACAGACACACACCCTAAAGAATGGCGCTGGCCTTCAGCCATTTCAGAAGGGATGGTGGGTTTGGGGATGGCTCAGACAGTGAAGTGCTTGTCTCAAACAAACACTTGAGATTGATTCCTGTTAGCCACGTGCAGAGTGCTGAGCCTGTGGCCCCTGCTTGTTATCCCAGCACCAGAGAGGTAGAGAAGGGAGGCTCCTTGGTGAGCTCCAGGCCAACAGAGACTCCTCAGAGGAGGAAAACGATGTTCCTAAGGACGACATACTCGAGCCCACCTGCACTTTTGTTAGGAATTTGTTTGGTTTTGATTTTTCTCTGTGTAGTCTGACTATACTGGAACTTGCTTTGTGAACTAGGCTGGCCTCGAACTCACAGAGATTCAACTGCCTCTGCTTTCCTTAACTCCGAGTGCTGGGATTAAAAGTGTGTGCCACTACCATTTGGCTGTTTGTTTTTGAGACAGGGTCTCAATGTGTAGCTGAGTCTGGACTTGAACTCACAGAGGTCTGTTCCTCTGCCTCTCTAGTGTGCAATATCAAGCCTGTTATTCACCCTTTTAAAGGGATATTTTTATAATTTTTTCTCCATTTCCCAGATTGTACTCCTTCAGGCTGGGGGAGACACGTTTCCTCTGATGGGCAACTCTGGTACTGTCCTGGGAATGGTGAGTGGCCCAAAGGCTGTGCCCTGTCCAGACTCGATGTCCACTAGCCACAAGGCAGCTCCTGCACACGTGTTTTTGTGCGCTGGACCCCATCCTCTGCATGTCCTGCACCAACCAGGGTACACTGACTGTGTCACGTCCTCCTCTGGCTACACTCACCCCGTGTGCCACCTGGAGATGCCTGCCCCCTGTGAGCTCTTTCCTGCCGCCCAGGACATACTCAGAACCTCCGCCCTGAGACTGGTCCTGCTCCACAGGAATGCACCCCAGCCATGCTTGACCTCCCTCCACCCACAGGCGCTGAAGAGCCATGACCACAGCACCAAGCCCCTCTATGTCTCTGTGGGCCACAGAATAAGTCTGGAGGTCGCTGTGCGTCTGACCCACCACTGCTGTAGGTTCCGGATCCCAGAGCCCATACGCCAGGTATGGGGACTGGGAGTGGGGGGTTGACACTGCCACCCAGTCTCACCTGGGGTGGGTCTCTGCAGGGATCTGAGGACAGGTCCGTAAGCCCCTAGCTAGAGAGCCTAGTGGAGCTAACTGGGCACTGAAGGCAAGAGTGTAGAGCAGAGGTTGTTTCCCTTGGGAATTCTTGCCACTTTGTGCCTGCTTCTGCCTTGCTGAGCCTCCTGCACCTGGCACAGCAGTGCAAAGAAAGAGCAGCTTGTCTTCCAAAGCCAGCACATCCCAGGCAGGACCAGTGGGGAGCAGCCCTTAGCCAGAGGCTCTCACAGCGCCCTCTGCCGCTGCACTGAAGAGGCTTGTGCTGGTGACAAGGACACCAATTAGGATGGACCCCAGGGCATGGCTCTGCCAGGTACTTGACACCCATGCTACTGTCGGGGCCCCAGAGGCTCAGCACTCTGATAGCCGGTCATCTCAGGCTGCAGGAGAGCAACATGCAGGTCACCTTCTGTGTTACCCATCACGTACCAGTGCCTGCTCAACAGTGGCCCGTAGTTGAGGACCCAGGAAAAGCTCCAGCCTTTTCTTTTTCTGGGTTTTTTGAGACAGGGTTTCTCTGTGTAGTTTTGGCTGTCCTGGAACTAGCTCTGTAGATCAGGCTGGCCTTGAACTCACAGAGATCTGCCTGTCCCTGCCTCCCAAGTGCTCGGATTAAAGGTGTGCGCCACCACCACCTGTCTGGAAAAGCCACTTTTTAGAGTAGGACAGTCTGGGCTCTGGAAAGACACTAGCAAAAGTCCCGGGTCGGGAGGAATTTGATGTTCAAGCAACTCAGCCAGAGGCAGGAGGCAGGAAGCCTTACCAACAAGGGACTCCGAGGAGCTACTGTCTCCCTCAGCTATAAGACAGTTTTTCAGGCCACAGCTCTGCACATTCAGGAGGCTGTGAGGTCTTTGCGAGGTGTGAAGGAGGCCATGCAGCAGACTGCAGACTGGACTCTGCTCTGAGGGAGAGCAGCCGAGCTGCAGATGCATAGGATGGCCTCTAGGGGGTAGCAGCAAGCTATGTCACCTGTGGTGCTCAACCCTGCTCCTGGAAAGGCTGCCCATACGTGGCCTCTGAGAATGAGTGAGCTGTTGGCATTCCCCAGGAAGGACCCTCTTTAACCTAGCTCACCCCAGCCCTCCCTCATCTAGGGTGTTACTTTGGTTACAGGTGCAATGATCTCTCAAACCCGTGAGTTCTGTCCCTAGTCCCAGAAAGCTTTTCCCCTTCCATCTCTGTGGTCTGAAGAGAGAAAGCCACTGAAACCCTCCCTTAGGACACACAGCCCTGTGTTATGCAGTCCCAGACCTGCTTTGCCAGCCTCAGGTTTTGACCATGCTTTTCCCCCAGTTACAGTGGTTTCTGCCCTAGCAGGTAAGGGGTGAGCCTCCTGCAAAGCTCCTTGAGTACTGGAAGCCAGAGCATGCCGAGCACAGGAGCCTGCCCAACCCTGGGTGCACATGGAGCAAACACATGGCTGCCTACCGTGGGGGCCCAGACTGGTGGGGGAAGGGAACAAGCCCAGCAAGACTGGCTGTGGCTCTTGGCTTCTCTTCTTTCCATTGGCCTCTCAACAGGGCTCCCCTCCCTACAATTCCACCTCCCCAAAGTTCTCCAAGAAAGGTTCAGTGCTAGTCTCTGGGGCCTGCCTTCCCTCTGCTCTAGTCCATACCCAGACTCTGCTGCGACCCAGTAGGGCTGTTGGTTTCAGGCTTTGCTGTGTTCCTTGTTTCCCAGAGTTCCACTGTAACTCTGGTCCATCCTGTGCCATCAGGATGTCCCACTGCCCACGGCCTACTTCCCTTAGCTGAAGAGGCGCTGTCTTCAGGATTAGCTGTTGCTATCTGTGGGTCATGTGGTCCCAAAGCTAAGCTAAACCCATCTGAGCTGGGATCAGGGACGAGTGTATATTCAGGCCTGAGTTCCACTGTATCCCCACACCTGTGGCCCACAGTCCTTTTTTATTATGGTAACTTGTCAGATGATCTGGAGATGGGCAGGTGTCACAGATGACACCCATCAGAGGGACAGACAGAGAAGACAGACACCTGGACTGTGAGTCAGAGAAGAGGGTTTAGCAGCATAGAGAAGCAGAGGCTGTGGACCCAGGGTTCACCGGTCAGTCAGCTGATGCAGGGAGGAGCCAGGACCCTCAGCCCACAGGGTCTCAGCATTTCTGCCAGCTGCACACTGGTGGGGCTGATGTCCCCACAGGACATGACGGGCCTGTATGGGCTGCCTCTGGAAGGGCATGAAGTGCTCCCAGCAGTTGGGGATGGGGAGATGTGCCCAGGGCCTGGCCACAGTTCTGTGTGTCTTCCAGGCTGACATCCGCTCCCGAGAGTACATCCGAAGGACTCTAGGACACCCTGGGTCTCAAGCACAAAGGCAGGAGAGGTGAGCGTGGGAAGGATGTCCGCGGTGTCCTGTGTGAGCCCCGCCTGCCCTTGATGAGACCAGGACTGGCAGGGGACATAGGAAGAGGTCCCGTGAAGGAAAATAGACCTCAAACCTAGTGGGAACCCTTGAGAAACCCCACTCGTGGCCCGGCTGGCCCAAGGCCACCTCGAAGCACGGCTGCTGTCCTAGTTAGGGTTTCTATTGCTGTGAAGAAACACCATTCCAAAAGCAAGTTGGGAGGAGAGGGTTTATTTGGCTTACACTTCACTGTCACTGTTCCTGGTTGGAGGAAGTCACAGCAGGGGAGAAACTGCTTCAGCGGGAGGGGAGCTGCTTACAGGCTTGCTCATCATGGCTTACTCAGCCTGCTTTCTTACAGAACCCAGGACCACCAGCTAAAATGGGCTGGGTCCTCTCCCGTCAATCACTAATTAAGAAAATGTCCCACAGCCAGATCTTCAGGGAGCATTTTCTCAGTCGAGGCTGTTGACATGAACCATTCAGCTGCCTAGCCTCTTCTGGTCCACTCCATCTGTCCAGGGGTGCAGGCCAGGTCTCCTCAGAAAGGATATGGTCTCTAGCGTCAGACATGTTCTCACACATGGCTGTCTCCCCCTCGCAGAAGCTCTGTCCTTCAGCCTCAGCTGTGGACACAGGGCTGTCGTGAATTCTTTACACAAACTACTATTACTAGAACAGACCTCAGGGAAGCCTTGTCAAGAAACAGGTACTGTGGTTCCATTTCATGGGTTCGGAAACTGAGGCACAGGGCATCAGCCACAGAGCATAGTGCATCTGGCAGCTTCAGTTTTGGTCCCTGCCTCCGGTGCTCCTCACTCCCAGGTGGCAGCGGCTCTGTCTTGTGTGGTGCGTGAGTAGTTAAGGATGCCCCCTCATGCTCATTCCCCTGTATCTGGTGGCTGTTCCTGAGCCCATGAAGCACTTTGAGACTGAGGGAATGGGCAGCTGGGCCAACTCCCAGCTTCACAGTTGAGCTCGGCCAGCCTGAGGGCAGAGTGGACCTGTCCAGCTGACAACTGTCTGCCCTTCAGGAAGGGAACTTCGGACACGCCTGGCTTTTTATGTTACCTCTTTCTTGGTGTCATTACCAGGAGCCAGAAGGACCAGGGGCCAAAGGCATGCCCCAAAGGTAGTCCAGGATCACCTGCCGACCAAGGCAGGCCCCCCAAGGACTGTGACAGAGGCCCCAGCACGGACCCCAAAGATCCCCATCCAGGCTTCCAGGAGCAGCCAAAAGCTCAGCAGTCAGAAGGAACTGGGCATCATGAAGACTCAGACCTCTGGCCTCCTCCAGCCTGGTTACAGTCGCCACCCTGAGAAGATGATCTTTAGGAGCTGTGGGAACCTCACCCACAGCCACAGGTCGAGCACCAGGCCCCCCTGCCAGAGGCAACAACAGCCGAATCCCCAGAAGGACACAGCAGGCATAGTCTACCTTGGGCCATGGCTGCCCAGCCGCCTCCATCACTAGCTGGTCAGTGTGGTCACCATGCTCCAGCAGGACAACATTTCAGACCAGGAAACACACACAGAGTATACAGGAGCTCCAGGTACCCAGAGGTCCTGAGATTGTCAGCCTGTGCCAGCACCTGCAGCTCTGACCGTCCCCCTGGAATACAGACCTGGTTCTGACTTGGCTCTGACTTCCGCTGCCATCCTGGCCACAGACTGTCCTTCAGTAGGCATAGCCAGACTGCAACCCCCAAGGTGCCTGTCCTTAAGCCTGGAGCTGAGCTTGAGGGACCTGCAGTGGGAAAGCCTCAAACCTGGAGCAGGCTCAAGAGTGGGTGTTGGGGAGTCAGCTCCGCAGAGGGTGCCAGATGGGAAGCCGGTTGAGGCCCATGGTGAGAAAGCCCCAGGCTCAGCTCCTCACTCCTCTTCCTGCCACCCTCTCACCAGAGGGAGCGTCAAAATTCCATCCCACCAAGAAAGCAGGTCTGTTCCTAGGCTGGGCCTGGAGTGGTGACTGCGGCAGGCCACAGAGGAGGCTGACGAGAAGCTCAGCTCCAGCACCCTGTTCTCCCACACACACTCTCCAGGTTCACTAGAGTGGCAGCTGAGGTGGGACACAGAGGTGACATACCTGTAACATGTCCTCTGCCTGCACCCTAATCCCCAGACTTCCTGGAGGAGAGGTGGTGGGCTAGGCTAGCTGCCAAATTCTACACCCGTAGGGGGTCAGTGGTGGAGGAAGGACAGCAGGGCTAGCTCTCCTGTCACAGCCAGTCCCATTTAGATTCAGCTGGGCCGCTGAGTCTCCCTTCTAAACCAGGTAGTAGTGACTGTCAAGATCCCTTGGGGGTAGGGCTGCTGGTTCCCACTCCCTGGGATTTTGGTTTGGGACACTGGGGAAGATACATGTGGTCCTGTCACCCAGTCAGTTCCCAGTAAATTAGGTGTGTGGCAGAGAGAGGCAACCTCCCCACCACACACCTGATGTAAGAACCTCAGGGACACCCATGGTGTCTGAGCAGGAAGTTAATCCCTATGGTGCCCACATCCCCCACCTTCTTTAGGGGGCTTGTGGGAAGGGAAGTGTATGCTTAACGAGGGAATCCCCCCCAGCTGTGGCCTCACTCTACCTACTGCTGAGTCAGAGTCCCAGGCTAGTACCTTGGATCTAACAGAGTGCCCCAGACTGGCAGGTTTCCAAGAGGTGCAGCCCCCACTGGCCCTCCCCTATCACTCACAAACACTGTACACATACATGCTTGCACACTCACACATATACGCATGCACATACACTCGTTCCCTGGCTTTCCTGTGGAAGCCAAGAGCTGGAGAGCCTGCAGCTGGCCCCACCATCTGTCTTCCTAATTTCTCCCTCCTCAAGCCTTGTCAAGACAGAGTTGTGGAGGGGAGTATTTTTTTTTGGGGGGGGAGTTGGAAACAAAAGGTTGGGGTTAAACTGTAGTGGCCAGAGTCCTCATGAAGAGCTTAGATGTTGAGCGGGGAACAAGGCCTGGCCAGCCTCCCATGCAGCTGGAAGGTGCCACAGGACAGGTGGGTGAGGGCTTCACACAGGGTCCAACACACAGATCCTCGGGTGAGGAAAAGCTGTTAGCTTAGAGAAGTTGGCTCCAGAGGCCAAGGCCATCAGTCTTTAAGGCCAGCCTTACAGATAACGAGAAAAACAACTTTAAAGAGTCCTCAATCCACACCTCACTTGAGCAGGCAGTCCCTCCCACTCCTGTGAGCCACCAGAGTATGGCTGGGAACCCAGTCTGGCCACCCCTGTCTCATCTGTTCCACTCCAGCAGGAGACCTTCCCGGGGACACACAGAAGTCACACACCTGCCCAGGACCCTGACACCACTCAGGCCCTCTTCTCTGTCACGGTGGCCATTTTCCCGGGGAGGGTGGCTCTCCAGGCTGCCAGTGCAAACACACAGTGAGGTGCAGGGCGGAGCCTGAAGGCAGCTTATAGGTAACTTTTGTGTGCTTTGTTCTGAGAGAAGATCCTTTTGGCTCAGTCATTAAATACAGCTTGTTGACTTCTGCAATATTCAATCCGGGTGTGCGCAGCTGTCTGTGTGGGCCCAGCCAGTGGGGAGCTTGAGACCGGAGGACCACCAGCCTGACCACACTGGCCAACAAAAAGAGGATTCGTTGTCTCATGCAGCTATTGCCTCTTTTGCCCCAAAGCATTTTCATTGTTATAAGGGAGCCCTGTGAGGGACCTCCAGTCCCCACCCTTCCCCACGAGAATCTGCCAGCCCAGCCAGCCCACTTGGTGTGTATAGGTCTGCCTGTTTCCAGGCTCCTAGGTGGGGTGCCACGTGTCCCAGTTCACTCCTCCTTGTGACTGCGCACTATTCTGTGGGGTTGTGCATCAACTCCCAGATGCTTTCCTTGTGCCTGTTTCAGGGACGCTAGATGCTGAGCTCCTTTGTGACTGTTTCCATTCTTGTGGGTACATACCTAGGAGGGACAGTGCCGGGTCCTGAGGTGGCCCTGTGCTTCACTTTATAAGAAACCCACCACCCCTAGGGGCAAAGGGCATAGCCCCGCACCTTCGGGCACTTGTTACTGTGTCTTTGGACTCTGGCCACCCAGGGAGTTGGAGGGGACCTCATGGGAATTTACTTGCCTTCTCCTAGTGATGAATGACTTCAGCGCCTTTTGTCCACTTTCTGGCTGTGTGTGCATCCTGGGATAAATGTCTGTTCACATCCTTAGTCTGTTGCTGTGTTGCTGTGTGTGTGTGTAATTGGGCTATTTGTAGTTGACTTTCAAGTTCTGGATTTTAGCGATGGGAACGTGTGTATCAAGGAATTAGTCTCGAATCTGCTTCATTGCTGATTTCTTTTTATACCCTGAGGTTACTAGAAACAGACCCACTTTGAGTCCTGCCTTTGGCAACCTCTGTTGTCTGGCCGGCCACAGCCAGCATGGGGTGGGTGGTTCTTTGGTGGCCTCCTAGAATGACCCAGGAGCTGTTCCTCACCGAGGACCCGCATGAGTCCCAAAATTGAAAGGAGGCTGCCACCACCTCTGCGTCACAGTCTTTTCTGCTTGTCCGCAAACCACCAGCATGGCCCTTGCAGATGCTGCTAGGAGTGGTGCTGCTCTCCCATGGAGCAAAAGTGTAGGGGCTCAGGACACCGTGTCGTTATCGGGGCCTGCGACAGGGTTGGGGTTTGGGGTGGGATGTGCCACGAAGATGCTGGAGCTGAGTGCACTGGGGAGCAGCCAGGCTTGGGGGTAGTGCGGGGCCACTGTACGCTTGGTGTTCGGGCAGTGCTGTGCTGCCCTGCACATCAGTGGCAATGGTGTGGGGCCCTAGCCCTCCAACCCCCACTCCGGCCCACAGTTTGCCAGGCTGAGCTGCTACAGGGGCCAGGGGGGTCCAAACTGAAGGAGTAGGGTAGGCGGAGCATGGGCTGTGGGCCAGTCTGGGGTGGGGTGGCCAGACACCAGTGCTTGAGGGCAGGGGGCCCTAAGTACTGTGGCGTCTCGGCTTCTTCCCACAGAACCTTAAAAATAGGGCCGTGGTGATGTCCATCTCAGCAGATCACAGCTCTCAAGAGCTAAGATATTCTTGAACCTCTTAATAATTCAAGTCCGATCCAAATAGATTTTCATTTTCATCTGCAGCTTCTGTGCCCCTTCCCAGCATCCTCACCTCTGTCCAGCAGCTGGGAGAAGAGGCTTCCAGGAGGAGGTAACCTAGCCCGGCCTCAGGGTCGCTAAGGACCCCAGCCATCCCATCCCTTGTGGCAACAGGAATAGTGAACACTGTCAGAACCAGAGTGGCCAGCTCTGGGGAGAGAAGCCCAAGCCATCACTACCTACAAATCGGGCAGGACAGGCAGGGAACCTTGACCTTCCTCAACACCTTACTAGGACCACTTGCTGTCTCTTGGCCGTTGGGGAGCTCACCTGCTCCCTAGACCCCATCGGCTGCTACCCAGGCCTCTGGGAACATTGTTGTATCTCCTCAGAGGAATCCTTGACGGGCTTTCTCTGGGGCTGCGACCTGGTGCGTACAACTATCTGACAGGGCTGCAGCCCAAGGCCTCTGCTCTCACACGCTGAGTGTGCCTGGTCGAGGTGGGTTTAGTGTCTCCAGAGTCAGTAGGGTGTCAGTCTACATGTCAGCTAAGGATCTGGTATCAGAAGTGAGGAGCATTGGGGGCTGGAGAGATGGCTCACAGGTTAAGAGCACTGACTGCTCTTCCAGAGGACCTGAGTTCAATTCCTAGCAACCACATGGTGGCTCACAACCATCTGTAATGGGGTCTGGTTCCCTCTTCTGGCGTGCGGGCATACATGGAGGCTGAACACTGTGTACATAATAAATAAATTAATTAATTAAAAAAAAAAAAAGAAGTGAGGAGCATCACCCACCCCAACAGCAGCCCAGCCCAGCAACCCTGCCACACCACCCTGACTAGGTCCAGCAAGGAATTTTATCTAATTATTAATTAAAGGCAGAGACACAGAATAAGAGGCACCACTGACATGCAGATGAATGGCCCAAGGGGTTGTCAGCTGGGTGTCACAGAGGTGATGGAGTGGGACTCTTCCCCACCCCCACACACAGAGCAGGCACCCGTGGTACCAGGTCCCTAAGGGCTCCTGGGAAATGGGAAGGGAAAGTGCAGGGGTCCAGACTCCAGGCAGAGGGACCCGGAGCAGGTTCTGATAGAGAGGGCTGTGCAGGGGTCCAGACTCCAGGCAGAGGGACCCGGAGCAGGTTCTGATAGAGAGGGCTGTGCAGGGGTCCAGACTCCAGGCAGAGGGACCCGGAGCAGGTTCTGATAGAGAGGGCTGTGCAGGGGTCCAGACTCCAGGCAGAGGGACCCGGAGCAGGTTCTGATAGAGAGGGCTGTGCAGGGGTCCAGACTCCAGGCAGAGGGACCCGGAGCAGGTTCTGATAGAGAGGGCTGTGCAGGGGTCCAGACTCCAGGCAGAGGGACCCGGAGCAGGTTCTGATGGAGAGGGCTGTGCAGGGGTCCAGACTCCAGGCAGAGGGACCCGGAGCAGGTTCTGATGGAGAGGGCTGTGCAGGGGTCCAGACTCCAGGCAGAGGGACCCGGAGCAGGTTCTGATGGAGAGGGCTGTGCAGGGGTCCAGACTCCAGGCAGAGGGACCCGGAGCAGGTTCTGATGGAGAGGGCTGTGCAGGGGTCCAGACTCCAGGCAGAGGGACCCGGAGCAGGTTCTGATGGAGAGGGCTGTGCAGGGGTCCAGACTCCAGGCAGAGGGACCCGGAGCAGGTTCTGATGGAGAGGGCTGTGCAGGGGTCCAGACTCCAGGCAGAGGGACCCGGAGCAGGTTCTGATGGAGAGGGCTGTGCAGGGGTCCAGACTCCAGGCAGAGGGACCCGGAGCAGGTTCTGATGGAGAGCTGTGCAGGGGTCCAGACTCCAGGCAGAGGGACCCGGAGCAGGTTCTGATAGAGAGGGCTGTGCAGGGGTCCAGACTCCAGGCAGAGGGACCCGGAGCAGGTTCTGATGGAGAGGGCTGTGCAGGGGTCCAGACTCCAGGCAGAGGGACCCGGAGCAGGTTCTGATGGAGAGGGCTGTGCAGGGGTCCAGACTCCAGGCAGAGGGACCCGGAGCAGGTTCTGATGGAGAGGGCTGTGCAGGGGTCCAGACTCCAGGCAGAGGGACCCGGAGCAGGTTCTGATGGAGAGGGCTGTGCAGGGGTCCAGACTCCAGGCAGAGGGACCCGGAGCAGGTTCTGATGGAGAGGGCTGTGCAGGGGTCCAGACTCCAGGCAGAGGGACCCGGAGCAGGTTCTGATGGAGAGGGCTGTGCAGGGGTCCAGACTCCAGGCAGAGGGACCCGGAGCAGGTTCTGATGGAGAGGGCTGTGCAGGGGTCCAGACTCCAGGCAGAGGGACCCGGAGCAGGTTCTGATGGAGAGGGCTGTGCAGGGGTCCAGACTCCAGGCAGAGGGACCCGGAGCAGGTTCTGATGGAGAGGGCTGTGCAGGGGTCCAGACTCCAGGCAGAGGGACCCGGAGCAGGTTCTGATGGAGAGCTGTGAATATAGTCTGGGCTTGGGTTGGGTTTTGTTTTGCTTTGAACAAGGTCTCACCTGGAGCCTCTGATCTTTGTGCCCCACCCCCCACCCTGCCTCCTAGCGGTGGGGTTACAGGTCTGAGCCACCCCACTAGAGCTGGGATCAAAGCCAGGCTCTGCATGCCAAACACGACCAACCAAACTACATCCCCAGCTTTGGGTTTTGTTTTTACTCCTTTAAATTTCATTCACAGTGTTTTTCTAATCAAAAGCCGTAAGCCTGCGCCGTTCAGGCAGTCAGACAGTTCTGTAAGGCTTGCCCTGAAAAGCTGGTGCCTCCTTGCCTGGGTCTCTCTCAGAGGCAAACTGTTATTCTAGCATGTTCTTTGGTTATTTACTTCATTCTTTAAAAAGTATGCTTGAATTCTGGGTGCCTGTGTGTGGGTATGTGCGTGTAAGCACAGCACTTCAGGAGCTAGAAGAGCGCGTCACATCAGAATTACAGACTGCTGGGCGCCACGAGTGAGCCCGTTCTGAACTCGGCAGCAAGCCCTTGAGCGCTCGTATCCTGGGTCTTTACCCCTAAAGACCATGCAAACATTGTTCCTTTCTTCCCTCCAGATGTTAGAAGTTGCCCATTGACTTCTTGCTACTGCAGTTGGTGTCTGTTCTTATGTTAGCCATTGCTCGTGTGCCCATGAGTGTGCATGCACACCTGTGCACTCCCACACACTCATTGTCTTACCTGTTACAGCTTCCTGTTTCTCCTGCTTCCTAGTTGCCTTGTTTAAGGGAGGAGCTGGTTTAGTTTCTCCACAGCTGTTACTAATTCCTCCCTTATCCCAGCAATGGAAGCCAAGGGTGTACATCTCCTTCAGGGGCGTTAGCATCAGAAGGTCGTGTGTGAGCTCGACTTTTTGGCACTTCTGGTGGCCATTCTCCGGGACAACCTAGTGGCCCACCGTCCTAGATTTATGTAGTTGCCTGGCACTAAGGTGATGGTGGGAGTGATTTCTTATTAATAAAGAAACTGCCTAGACCCATTTGATAGGCCAACCCTTAGATAGGCGGAGTAAACAGAACAGAATGCTGAGAGAAAGAAGCTGAATCAGGAGTCACCATGATTCTCCCACTCCAGGCAGACGCAGGTTAAGATCTTTCCTGGTAAGCCAGCTCGTGGGCTACACAGATTATTAGAAATGGGCTAGTCCAGGTGCGAGAGTTAGCCGAGAAAAGGCTAGATATAATGGGCCAAGCGGTGTTTAAAAGAATACAGTGTCCGTGTAATTATTTCGAGTAAAGCTAGCTGGGTGGCGGGACACAGCCCGCCGCTCCTATGC